GATCCTTGGTTTTCTCTGATAAAAAATAATCCCCAATTTTTGGATTAAAAAAGGGACCCTAAAATCCATGTTTCCATCATTAAAATGAAACACCACTAATATATATCATTAGTGGTGTTTCATTTTAATGATGGAAAAATGTGGATTTTGGGGTCCCTTTTTTAATCCAAAAATTGGGGATTATTTTTTTAAAACAGAGAAAACCAGGAAGGATCCCTGCCGATAAGGTCTGCAATGTGGAAATTAACATTTCATTTACAGGAACTTATATAGAGAACTAATTACAGTAAAGAGCCAACAATGTTGCTACTGCCATTGCAAGTGTCTGGGGCCTAACCTTGTGTGATGCTAAGTCCTTGTGGGCGCACAGAGTGCCCAGGAAGTGTAGGGTCCAGGGAAATAGTCTGGGAGACATAGTTGGTACTAGGAACTTCCTGGTGCCACACTTCCTGGACAGCCGGTGTTTCCAGAAGACTTACGCTATCTCACATAATCAGCCATGATTGGAAGAAATCATTTTTCTACATTCTGCCTTCCCAAAAACAAGGTGCATATTTTACTGGGGACGTATTGTATGGTATGAAAAAAGGCAGTGTTAAATGAGTACAAATTAAAAACTGCAGTTACTTAAACACAGTAGTTAAAACTTACCCAGTACCCCAGAAATCCTGCTACAAAAATCCTCCTACAGTTAATTACCAGATCTCAACATACGGCAAAGAGTAATGATTTCGTACACCGATTCCCATCTCAAATGAGCTGGGGAGGGGAGGAGCAAGGTTTTCAGTGAGCAAGAAAAAACAAACAAACCCAGTACTATCCTGATTAATGTACCTATAGAAATCAATCACTTTTCAGCATGAGCTAACATCAAATAACTAATTTTTTTCTTATTTTTACTAACATACCTTTTAACCTACGTATCCTCCATACAATAACAGTTCAGTTTCAGAAGATATTTGCACACTCATGAACAGACCACATTAAGTATAAGCAGCAAGAGCTCTGCTTTTCGATGATGTAGTCACTCACCTGAGAATGATGGTGTACTTTATCTGAGCACGGCAGGCTCCACACACTAGCTCCCTAGCTCCCAGCATGTTATAGCAACCAGAAAGCCAAATAAATCCATCTTTGTTTTAATCTTAAGAGTTTAAAAACTAAATTATACATTTTGAAAACAGCATTTTATCCAGTAAAACCGTTCAGCTGTGGCTTCCCTAACCTGCTCTGTCACATAATACGTTTTAGAAATTTGCCTAAAAATTAACCTATACAATTTTTTTGACAGATTTGTGAAAAAAGTCTGTTTTACTAGAAGCAGATTTTGCTTTACCTTAAGAATCATACCCCTGTTACCTACAAACTATTACCTTTACATTTTACGAAGCTTAGATTTCAGCCATGTGACTCATTAGTAGCAAGGCTTGTGGCTAGGACTTCCCAAGCTGCTTTAGGAAAACAGGGTTAGAGGTTGAAGACCATGAATTTGCTGAAATGACACTAAACCTCTGGACTAGCTGTTGTATATGAACAATTCTGTTAAAATTCTATCCAGTTTTTATCTTATTCATACATACCTTCTCTCTCTGATATTCTCTAAATATTAAAGAAATGGTTGCAAGACACGGGTGGCACAAAAACCACAGGATGCAGGCCTGAAAAAGAATGAATCACATCTTAGAAATGTATTCTAATATACCAAAACAGGGATATGACAGAAGGTTACATTTCCATCTTTCTTTTTACAGATTCACTCTTTTGGAATAAATCAATATAATTACAGCCACATTATTATAAGTTTGATTTCTAAGTTAGATTTTGTTTCTAATGACATTTAAAATTATTACTCAGAGTATACTGAAATAATGTAATTTATTTAAACAAATAAAATATTTCAGCATTAACTTTCCTATGGGCACAGGCTGATTCTCAATAGCATGCCACATAAAATATTTACACTGAAAAAATTGGTTTCCCCCACCCCTCTTCCTTCCCTGCCATGTAACTCTTACTTTGGCAAAGGTGATATAGAACTCCCTTTTGAGTGTACTTCTCTCCACTGTGATGATCTGATAAAGGCTACAGGCCAATGACAGAGCTAGGCAAACTCTTAGACCAGTGAGAAGTCCACTTGCTAAACTGTAGTGCAAATGGTAGCTGTGATGATTTGTATCTTCAAACTGTTCCCAAATCAGTAAAATACTCTGTAAAATGATGAAGAACAGGTCAAGTAAATACTGTACCTACATGTCTCATTCCTTCAGAAAGCTAACTGCGTTTCCGATAGGAAAGTAGCAGTACAGCATTGTGGTTCTGCTTGGCTTGCTAGAAACTACCATTTTACTAAAAGAAACAGCTAAAACTGCTCTCTTGGCACCACAGAGGACAAGTGATGCTTTATAGCCAGGAAAGCAGTTGGTTTTCTGCTTATAAAATGAGTTAACTTTCCAGAAATTACAACATTTTCAATCAAGCTTCAACCTAGGACTTGACAACTGTAGCTATGTTCCTTTGAGAAACCTGAAGGGAAAACTTCCACTGAATTAATGAGAATTTTGCCAACTGGCTTCAACAGGAACAGGACAGAGTTTGTTAGCATCAGTCTTCCAAACTACTATCCCCCTTCTTACTTGAACTAGTCTACTTTCTTCAGCACCATAGGCCTAAACTAAAAAAGAAAGTTAGTACTCCAGTACTGAGCATTGCAACCTATAATTTTTGGTGACCATCCTCTGTAATGAAATTCAGAACCTTGTCCACAGTAGGTGCCTATGCTACTTGCAAAGCTGATTGGGGGCTAGACACCTTAGAACAAGAGTAAAAAAATACAGCGCGATCAGTGGGCCACCCAAACTCAAAATGCTCACTGGGAAACCAGTTAAAACTAAACAAGAAACAGTGAAATTGCATCCTGCCCTTCTTGGGATTTAGGTTCCTGAGAATACCGAGAAGTGCCACCTTTTACTTAGGCTGTGGATCCTTACCCCAAGTCAGACAAGTATGTCCTTTTCTAACAAAACCTGAGCAGTTTTCTTTCAAAATGTGGGAAAGGGCCACTAGGCTTTGTAAAATCACTTTGTAGTTAGAGCACTCACTCAGCATATGGGAGATTTGGATTTAATTTCCCCTCCTGACTAAAGGAATTCAAACCCATGATGTCTACCAGACATGGAGAATGTCCTAACCACTTTGGTTATTCTGGGACTGGGGCACTTCCCATCCCTCCTGCTGACGCTATGCTACAATTCAAAATTAATTGGGCCAGAAAGAGATCAAAAGTGAGACCAATTATGTAGATTAGAGGTTAGGACACCCAGCAGGAAGGTGGAACTCTGGGTTCAGGCCCCTGCTCTAAGGACTGAAGGAAGGTTTTAACACAGTGGGGGCAATCTTTTTGGCAGATGCAACACAAATTAATCTTTCACCCTCTCTCAGTGTCATTCTGATCCCCTTCCCAGCCCAATCCGCTGCATGCCACACAGAAGCTGCACATCCCACTTGTGGCACTCATGTCACAGGCTGGCCACCCTTGTGCTATTTAGTGATCATATAAAAAGGGGACACCATCATTACCTCCTACTCTTCTAAAAGACAGCTGTGACTGCCAATTCATTTTGTGCGTGGCACAATTGTGTTAGTATGCTCTGACAACAAACATTGATTCAGTTTCTTGAATAGGATAGGTTGAGGAACACCTGGTTTCGGAATCTCAACCAAGCTTAGGTTTACAGACCCTGAACTTCTCAGAACGTAGGTAATTCTATACAGTGTACAAATAAGGAACTTTACAGGTTACAAACTCAGAGGCCAAGGGAGTTTTGGTTCAACCACAATTAAGAGGAATCCGAGTGAAGACTTTTAGACTAATAATTTTTTTTATTTGGCACTTACATTCCACTCAAGTTGTTTTTTTAGACCCAGACTGCTCTAAAGCAGACTGAAATACACAGGAATAATTAACGATGCACCGATAAAGATTTTTTTGGCCAATACTGATTGCCAATTATTAACCAGCCATATTGGCTGATACCAATCTGATATGCAGCCAGGTAGCTTAGAGAGCAGTATCCGGCTGGTAAGTCTGTCGGGGGGAAGGAGTGTGGGGAGGGGAGGGAAGGGGCTTGTGGGGGCAGATTGAGGCCCCCACAGTGAGGGAGGGAGTGGGGTTGGGGCAGGCAATGCCTAGCTGGGATGGGGCATGGGATGGAGCTGCAGGCAGATTGTCTGGGGGGCACAGAGGGTGGAAGGGGGGCTGGCTCCCCACTGCTGCGCACACCCCTAGGGAGGAATGGGGGCACATGTCCCCCAGATTTGTGCGTGGGGTGACGACAGGCTACTCACTGCGGGCTTGAGGCCAGGGGCTGCGCCAGCCTCTTCCCAGTGGGGTGGCTGGCCCAGGCCTGCACTCGGAGTGAGCAGGGGGCTATGGGGACTTTTGGGGTGGCTGTTGCCCATCCCACAGCCCCCCTCCCACTGCCTGCCCCCTCTGAGCGCAGCTCCAGCACACCCCCCCACCAGGAAGAGGTCAGTGCAGTCCCTGGCCCTGAGCCTACAGCAGGCAGCTCATACTTGCCCAGTGCAAAAACCCAGGGGGGCACAGGCCCCCCCATGCCTGCCCCAGGGGTGCGCACAGTGGCCAGGAACTGCCCCCCTCCCCATCCTGGGCCCCTGGACAAGTCGCCCACAGCTCTGTCCCATGCCCCACCCTGGCTGGATAGCCTCTGCCCCAGCCCCTCTCTCCTTCACCGTAGGGGCCTCAATCTGCCCCACCATGCTCCTTCCATCCCCCATGCCCCTTTCTCTCCCCAAAGACTTACCGGACAGATGCTGCTCTCCACGCTGCCTGGCTGCATTCCTGGCCGCATGCATTCTGAGGCTGGGCACATGTACACGGCACTTATTGGTGACACTATGGGCTACACCAGTAAAAAAAAAGCCAATTGCCGATAATGTCAATTTTCTTTTTATCAGTGCTGATCCAATATGGACCGATATATCAGTGTACCTCTAGGTATAATCCCATTGGCTTTAATGATATTTGGTTCAACAGGCAGGACAATGAACTCCCAGCTGCTCCTAAGAGCAACTGCTTAAATGCTACTATTAAAGTCCATGTACAGCATAAGCAAGAAACACAAAATACTAACCTGCATAACAACAATAACTACAGCAATGCCAGTTGAGGTTGGAGTTGAATCCCACTGAAGGGGTCTGCTTTGAGATTTCTTCATTCTGCCTACTGTCCAACCCATACATAAACTCAACAACAGGTACAACATTTGTATCTGAGAGACTACATCGCACACTATTGGGAATGAAAAAGAGTTAACATAGTCACAAGAGAGAAGTAATTTCTTTTTCCAATTAAAAAAGAGAAAATAGCAGTTGTGTGGTTAGCCACACATTTAACTACAATTTAGACACTTCTCACTGTAATTTTCTCATTATGTGCCGGATTTTATTCTAATCTGTTAGGTGTCTAAAGTGAACTTGAGCTAAGGGCAGTCCTCATTTCATCCTGTTTGAGTCCCTGAATATCCATTAACACATTTATTTTTGTAACATACTGTGATTTTGGTCTTAAGACTAAGTAACGAAAAAAGCAGCGAGGAAAGTCCAACTTTTATATTACCAGTTTTCCAGGGACACTAAAAGAGTGGAATAGGGTTGCATGTAGGCACCTAATTGATGGAAGAGGATCTGGTTTTATATACATTTTGAGATTATTTAGTACTGTAATACACATTGTGGATAATTTTTCTATCAGCTTTTATTTAAAACAATTGTGAACTAACAATTTTCGCATTAAGGTTACAAAATCTACTATGAGCTTCATGTACTCAGACGATTGTGTTCCTGCAGAATCACTTAACAGTCACTGCATACAGACGGTCTGACCAGGTGGTGAACGGGGTAGGAGGACACTTAACATTTGACTTAAATTTCAGAGCAACCAGTTAAGAGAGACACTCTATGGTTTCTTAAGACTAGCTTGAGACTAAACTCTGACCCACATTTTATTTGGAGCAGGGGTGTCGAGTTCCCTCGATGCCCTGGGATAAATCCAAACAATGAGGAGGCGTGTGGTCTGGATCCAAACCCACCTTTGGCAGCAGCAAACAGCATCAGCAAACCACAGAATGAAGAAAGCTGTTACTCACTCCACCACCACCAAAACATCACCTGAACCCCAGATTTTGGCAGTGGATCATACTCCTGAAATATAGACCCTTCCAGGAGCCACAAAGCCCATGTCTTTGACATACCTGATTTGGAGCAATAATTCTTGCTCAACTGGTTTAATTTTTGAATATTTAAATATATTTTACTGTGAGTTGTATGTCCACTTTTTTGCTCTACTTGGGCCCCAAGCATTGAGAACCAGCACATGCACTTTCTTAATCAGCAGCTCTGATTCTCCTGTGCAGATGTGCTTTCCTCTGCAATCTACACTTACTTGCATCACTCTTTCTCTCTCTCAAGTCCCCCTCCCCCACAAAAATCTATCCTTTCTAGACTCTTTTGTCTTTGGAAGCTATGCTTTTAAAGCCAAAATATCTTGAATTAAGCTATTACACTAAAAATAATGGGAACAAAGAATAAAATATCCCTTGAATTAAGAGATTAACATACAATAGTCTTCATTTGAAAGACAATACTCTTCACATAAATATCTGCCAACTTAAAAAAGTGCCTAACTCTAGTATTGGAAGGAGTTAAGAATAGGCTCATATCACTCATCTAACTTCACTTCTGTAGGTCAGAAAGAAGGTTTAATCATGTGGTTGATGGAAAAGTTGTGAGGTTTCAGTATTTCAGAAACAAAGAATTAATGTCTTTTACTGCAGTGCCAAGTGCCATCAAGAGGCTGTTAATACCAACTGCAAGTTTTTATGGAATTTATGGCTACTGTTTGCTGCTGGTATATGAAAGTGCTCAGGACTACATGCAAAAATTATATAAAATGACTGGGAAGAAAACGACCACCACTTTTACAGTTAAAAATGCTCATATAAATCACACTTAAAGTAAAATCAAGCAAATGCAAAAAAAAAAAAAAAAAATCAGAATCAAACATCACTTGTTTTTGTATTGATGTTCCTACAATTTAATGAGTAAAACTTTATTTACAGACATTTCCTCAACCTAATAACAAATGTTTATCCAGGCAAAATTTAAGGAAACTGATGATATGATTATGGGAACAACTTTACCTGGTGTCTATATTTAAGTTTTACTACAGTATTTAACCCCAATATTCAAGTCCTTTGTTTACCTTACAGTAAACCTACATTATCAATCAATACGGCATGTACATTTTCCTCCTCCAGGTCCCGAATGCAATCCTTACTACCGGAAGTAAACAGTCATACTAGTAGTCCTAGTCTAAAAATGGCTTCAAGATGTCCAGTGATAGTTAGCCAGAGAATAGTGAGATACTCCAAAAGATACAGGAACCACAGTTCAGCTTAAATCACCTGGCCTCTTCCAAACTAGACAGGTAGTTGGGGTCACTCAGAGGCTCTTGCCTGTGTTTCACTGTCTCATCTTCTATATTTGATGATCTTATAGGTCCCTTCTGGTCCTTCTATTCTATGATATTTACCTTATCTAGGTAAGCGTCGAGTAATCTTTTGGCGAGCTCTCCATTTTGACATACAAGTATATGCAAGTGATTTAATGATTGGGTAAAAATGTATCAGCGTAGGACAATGAAACAGGAATAGGATAATAGTCTGTGGAGGAGTACCATAAGAGAATTTCAAATAACATCTAGTTTTTTTTTCTTTTTGAAGGGGAGGCCAAAATGGCAAGACTGGATTTGTGGGAGGTACTTTGCTATCTAAGTTACCATATTTAGCCAAATCTAAGACAACCCTAAATTTGTTATAATTTTCCATGTATGGAATCTAATTATCAGAAGGCTGTCTTAAACTCATCCCCCCTCCACTGCTGCAGTGGGAAGCAGTGGCGGCGGGGGTGGGAAGGCCTGACCCCTGCCCTCCGCACTACTTGCCTCCCCCCCCCCCCCCCCCCCCCAACCCTGCCCTTGCCTCCACAGCCTCTGCCCCCAAGGATGCTGGATTGGGTAGATACCAACGGTAGCTCTGGTCTTCACTTTGGGTTGAGTCAGGGCCAGAGCTGGGACCAGGGGAGCTGCTTGCCTCCCTACTGTCTCAATTACAAGACAAGGGGTTTCCCCCCAGCCCCACATTAAATGGGGAAAAAAACTTCAAACCAGAATTGAGTAAACATGGTATGGTACTTAACCTGCTACCTTAGCACTGAAGTGCCATTTTCATAAAAAATTTCCAAATGGTTGAAAAGGAATTTATTAGCTGGGAAGGAATCTCTTTGTATTTCTAACCAGAACTTCAAAAAACAAAAACCATTGTCAGGTTAGCTTAAAACAGTGTACCATGGCACAAGATGTTCTGTGGGGTTTAGTTCCAGTTACACATTGAAAAGGCCAACACTTTAAGAAAGATGAGGACAGATTGAAAGACACCAGAAGAGAGCGATAAAAATTATTAGAAACTGAACACATAATGCAGAAAGGTTGAAAGGAGTAGGGCTGTTCAGTCTAGGAAAGGGAAGACAGGGAAGATCTGAAAACGGTCTTCAAATACCTGAAGCTATGAGATAAAGAGGATGGAGACAGCTTTTTCTCTGTTGCTGTAGGGAACAGAAATGGGAACAATAGCCTCAAACGGCAGCTGAGAAAATTTAGGTTAGAGATTAGGAGGAATTTCTTATGAGGGTGGCTAAGCATTGGAACAGGTTACCACCTAAAGAGGTTGTGGAATTTTAATTCCTGGGAACTTTCAAGAGCAGGCTAGAAACACACTTGGCTCGGGATGATCCTGCCACAAGTAGTAGATTGGACTAGATGAGGGCATAAGATCCCTTTCAGCCATACTTTCCTACCATCCTATGAAGTCAAGGAAGCCGCTTTGTTAATACCAGGTCTTAATACAATAATTCTTGTTATAGCTCTAACGTGAGATTTTGTGACTTGAACGACTTCATTTTTTCATTACATTATATTTCATTAAATTACATTTTATATCTAGGATTAAATATTTTTAAAATACCTTAGGGGCATGGTAAACAGATCCTATTTAGCCTATTAAAGCTCTGATCCAGCAAAAAATACTTCAGCATGTGGAAAACTTTATCCATTTTATCCAAGTGATAGCTCTAGTCTTAAATGGCAATACCTGAATCTAAATGTATGCATCTATCCGTTTAAAGGATTGGGTCTAACAAAATTAAATTGTCTAGAGCTGTAAACCATGTATTAGTTACTTAACTCTTAAAATAACCAGAAAGAACCATTTTTTGCAGAGAAGCATTGTGTACTGTTTAAAATCTGATGAACTATACCTGAGATAAGAATCGAACCCTAAATGTTAGCACTATTTAAAAGGCTCCACATTAATCAACATAAAATGTTCGCAAGATTAAGCTGTATTAAGCATACTCACATTCTGCCAAACTTCCCACAAGAGGTGCCCCTATTCCATCTTTAGAGTAACTATAAGGAGAAACAACAACACCACCGCACACAGGAGACAATATTTGTTAAAGTTACTCAGTCTTAAATTTGACTTTTTTTGTTAACAGTAAGTGAAAAAACGACAATGTTCTAACTAGCCCTCCCCACAAGTTGTCACAATTCATAATTAATTTGAATAGTTAACTGATTTTTACAGTTAAATATATTTTATTCTTCATTTTAAAAGAGAAAAAAACATAAGTAGTTACCTTGAGAAATGCAGGTAGTTGGCTAAAGCTGAACCACTCTGTAACAGTAATGCAGTTGACAGTACCTTTAATGCAGCATGCATAGGTCCACTTTTCTTAACAGTCTGCCATAGTGATTGAGCGTATATGCAAGCAGCTACAAAGTAGACTAGAATAAGTAAGAAAAAAAATTCATGTAATCCTGTAAAGAGAAGAAATGAGGTTTATTTAATAATGCAAGTTTGGTAAGTATAGATAATATAATACAATGCAATGCAAATCAAATCACTAGGACAATCAATATTAAGCAACATGGTATTGGTAATTACTGATCAAAAAGCGATTGTAAAGCTGAACTAGTACTCAAAACACGTTCTTTTATCTTTTCCATATACTAAGAAAAAAGAAAGAACCTATGTGCTAGTTTTCCCAGATGGCTGATTATTTGACCTGAAAGCCTAGTCTTAAATCAAAATAATCTTTTCTTGAATGCAAGAGAGATTCTGTGCTCAATTTCTCTAAAAATGTCATGTACAGCGTTATTGTAATGACTGACATAGCTTATATAGAAGATTAGGGGTACACCAATAAAGAATTTCTTGGCCGATACCAATAGCTGATTATTAACCAGTCATGTCAGCCGATACCAATCGGACAGCTGATTTATAGACATGTAGCCAAGCAACTTGGAAAGCAGAGTCCTGCCATCTTAAAATTCCCTGTAGCTCTCTTGCAGCCACCCCTCCCAGTGTTGACACCACCTCTCACCCCGCTCAGCTGATCCTGCCCTGCCCCTGCTGAGCCGAGTCTGGGCCCAGCCCCCCACCAGGAAGAGGCTGCGCTGGCCCTGGCCTCGAACTTGCACCCCATCCTCGCCCCATGCACAAATCTGGGGGGCAAGTATCCCCCCATGCCTCCCTTGGAGGTGTGCACAGCAGTGTGGAGCCACCCCCACTCCACCATGCCCCCTGGATGAGCCACCCATGGCTCAGTCCTGCTCCTGGCCATGGGGTTCTAGCCACTGCCCTGGCTAGACAGCGCCTGCCCCATTACTCCTTCCCTCAATGTGGGGGCCTTGATCTACCCCCCCTTCCCCCGCACCATTTCCCCCCCACAGACTTACCAGCAGGACGCTGCTCTCCAAGCTACTAGGCTGCATTACTGGCCGCATGCATGCTGTGGCTGCACACACACACGGCACTTATCAGTGACATCGGCCAAAAAAAGCTGATTGCCAATAATGTTAATTTTCCTGTTATCGGTGCCAACCTGATATGCGACTGATATACTGTTGCACCTCTATAGAAAATATTTCCTTGAAAAATCAGGCAACAGTCCCAATTGATATCAGCAATTAGAAACATCTCCAAGAAATGGTTCAGACAAACAATTAGTCTTCAAAGATAGGTTAGGAGATGAGGAGAGAGAAATCCATATCCAATAAATGCAAAAGGGATCTATGTATCCACTGGGTGTCACTCTCATACCACATAAAATGAAGCATGGTTAGTTTAGATAGCACCTGTACTAAGGAGACAGCTTTTAGGTATGGAAAAGTTAAAGCTGTGCAAAGAAAAGTAATTCCATTTCACAGAAGACTCAAGTATTCTGAAATCCTGCTTTATTCTAAATTTGGAATGAAAAACAAAACAAAACAAAGAATGAAACTTGTTGAAAGGCAAAGTCCTGGTTCCTGGCTACAGGTCACTACTCTGGATGACTGCCCTACAGGTAGGGCAGCTCTATCAAGAAACTGAGATTGGGAACCAGCAGCTTTAGGACTTCCATATTTTTGGCTCCACATCATCCCACCGGGCAAGATGCAATGGGATAAAAAAGACTGGAAACTGGAGCAGGCAAACTTGCAGGAAACCAGATAGCTTGCTTTCTCCTGGGCCTTCATTGAAAAAAATAAATATTCTATGGAAATGGTTCAGTTTTGAGCAATGTATTCTCCAAGACAAAACTGTCAGACAAATTCCAGCTAGTTCAGAAGAGAGAGCATACACTTTTAAAGAAGAGGCCTACATTTTTGGCAGGAGTGCCACAAATTAAGCCTTATGCTTTCCCTGTGCGCCACCCTTATCTCCTTCCTCTGCCTTGCCTTCTGTTCCCTGCCCTCCCTAATCTGATGCACTACTTGCTATCTGCTGCTGTTCTGCCTGCCTCTGCCCCAATCTGCTGTGCATTACACAGTGGCTGCCTGTGCCTCGGGTTGGCCACCCCGTCATAATGCGTTAACCATAGAAAGGTTATCAGTGTTGGATGAAATATGAATGCTCACCACGGCAGCTAGTAACTACAACTCATAGCATTTAACTTGAACATGCATGGAATGGGATGGCAGAGGTCTGTAGACTTTGGGTGCACAATATGTTTATTCCCTAGTAAAAGTAGAGTAGACATGATGCACTGTTGCAAAAATTCCATTCTGGACATAGACAAACATATACTTGAAGCAACTTTAAAAAGTGGGGTGGGGTGGGGAGAAGCTGCTGCAACTGTTATACTCTGTGCAGGAGCTTATAGCAATACAAATCGTGCAAGTCACCATAATTTTATCCCGGATGGGTTAAAGTTGGATCTGTTTTGCTACACTGGTATTGCTATAGGCTGGTACACAGGTAACTTACAGAATAACAGCTGTTGCTTGGTCCAGAGCAGTGGTTTTCTCTCCCCTTTTGAAACTGTTCCGTGTATACATTTTCCCATACCCTCTAGGCAATGAAAATGTACTCTTCAAAAAGCATGGAGTAACTATATATTGATATACCGGTCACCTATCGACTCCCCTTGTCAGTTTTACTTAAGGTAGTCATTTGATCCTTACAAACAGATTCCCTTGCCACCTAGTGACCAGATGTTGTAATACTGCCTACTGCTTGAGTAGCTGGTCATGCATCCACTCCTTACAGGGGAATGAATTTATTGTGCAGTAAAAATCTGGGATCTTGTCATGTGTCTATGCCCTTTATGGTCTTAGAAAAGAGCACAGTTACAAAACTACTTAGCAGGTCGTCACTTCAATTTTTTTTAAATGCACCTTTCTGCTTATTCTATTTATCCCATCCATCTCTTTCCTTTATTCAGACTTTTTTTTTTGTCTAGAGAAAACCTGTATTTTGGACAAGATTTGCCACCTTGGCTTGCAGTGAGTATCTACCTAATCCATGGGTAGCCTACCATAAACTGACTTTCCACAAAGTGGGATACTTCTCAACATGAACTAGAAGACTTCAGCCATTTAGTCTTCATCAAAACATTATCATAATCACCCTAAACTCTTTTGGATACAATGTCTAGCAAGTTGAGAAAGTCTGTAAAAGAACTCCTGAAAAACGGATATAATAAATGGGTGGGTTCTCTTTCTCCTCTTCTACCTCACTGCTTTTTTGACTTAGCTTTAAACTAACATGATATCATGTTACAAAAGTAGAAGTATTAATGAAATTTCAGGAACTTAAGAAGAGTGAAAGGGGATCATACCCAAGTGTCTAATACGTAGAGTATGATTTAGCTCCAAATATAATATGCCTTTTGTTCAGATCAGTTTTCAGCTACAAGCCTTCTGCCTGTAAAAGTAATGTAGGGCTATATCCATAATCAGGACTTTGGCACCTAAATTCCATCTAAGCCAAAGTTAGAAACCTGAAAATCCTGTCAAGATGGCACCTAATCCTTGAGGCACCTGAACTCTGCAGGACTTAGTTTTACATTAAATGGATATTGGATACAATATGTAAACAGCACTAAGAGCAGGGACTGAAATCCAGGACTCCGCTCTCTCAACCACATACCACTAACTTAGTGTCAGGCCCCCTCTCATGCTTTTTCTGTATTAATGTAGTTACTTTCATACCACGTGTACCTTTGTCCCCAAAACCAGCCCTCTAAATTGGGTTGTATGTCTCTAGTGAGGATTTTTTTTCCTTTGTTGGAAGAGAAACAGAGAGGAATAGAAGGAAGAATACACTGTGCCCTGGTGGCTCCTGCTTCTAACTGGCCCCAGCAAGTACAAGGACTAATGCTGGGCTTAAGACAGTGTAGGAAACAAAACATGATTTGGTGGAGTGTAGACTAGCCATGATTTCAATACCTGGAAACTGGAGGAACAAACTGTTGTTGCTGCAGGTTGCAAAAAAATATTCCCTATTTGGGAATATTTTAAAGAAATTCCTCTATCACCGGGAAGTGCTGGTTTTATGTGTTTAATTACATTTAAATTGCCAACTTAATGCAACTTGATACAAATAGTAGCAGAAAGTTAATCATCTAGCAAACAAGAAATATGTATTTCACCATTTTATAGTGTACTAATATATAGGATTTCTAGCTATCTAGGTATGCCAAGCTATATATTTTTAAAATATATATCTAGGAAACGCATGTACCAAATCTATTGGAAAACTGTATTTGGTCGTAAATCAATGTTAATTGTTAAATCAACCAATGAAAATGCACCTTTGAGAGAGCGAGAGCGAGCACGAGCGAGAGCACATATAATAGGGAAGTTGGTAAAAAAAAAAATAAATCAATGATTTAAATCAGGCTTTTGGCTTGCCAATTTAAATCAAATCAACTTGGTTTAAATCAATCCACCCTGTGTTATACAGATCATTTGTTTACCTTCTCTAATAGATCACACTTGATTACAATATGATTAATTTGTGTTGTAACAACATAAAACTTGAGTCTACTATAGTAGAGACCAATCTTTTCAAGAAAGTAACAGGAGAACTGTTTGATGTTACAATTCATAACTCATTTCTTTGATAAGACTAGATTTGTATAAGTGCATTACAGAACTGGAAGAGATTCTCATATTAGGACTATATTCACTGGAATTCCTTCCTTTTTGAGAAAAATATAAATCTAATGGTGAATAATTCCATAGGCCACAAACTTCCAATTTCACACTTTTTTCAAGCATAAGTACCAACTCACTTGATGATCAGACCCTTAACTTATAAATCAAGTTTTGAGAAAAAAAATCTTACCAGATTCCCCTGCGCTAAAGTGATCTAATGGATTCCCTTCTGCATCTGGGTTTAGTAACACCATTTCAAACTGAACATCCTCGGATTCAGAATTTTCATAATTCTCCTCGCAGGTAAACTTGTCTACATAAAACACATACCATGTTTCTGGATATGGAATCTGGGACACTGTCATATTTTGGTCTGTGTGGTTCATAGACACTTTGAAAAGAAAGAAAATGAAATTAGAACTGAATGCATCACAAATAACTTACAGAAATTAATTCATCTTAGATAATGTACATATTCAACTCATAAGACCATAACTTTTATTTTTATACTTTAAGTATATAGAAAAGTGAATAGTCTGTATCAAAACACAGTCATAACACTCTACAAAGGACACTGAACTCAATCCTTATCTTTATTTTAAACTTGGCACAATTGTGGGAGAGGATTAGAGAAAGCACATGCTCATAACCAGTCTTTCAGCTTCTCTAATCACAGAGTATGAGACAGCTCTTATCACCACACTGTCAACAGACAATGGGCTGCAAATGCTAAGAATCCAGTAGACTGCCATTCTATTTGGCACATCCCATACTCCTCCTCCTCAACAGAGGATTTCATTCGGGGCTCCTCAACAGGAATAGCTATTTGGTCTGAACTTCTCATTTGAACATTCTTATTTCACAGTAAGAGCACCTTTGGAAGTGAACCAGGTCAAACCCCACAAAGAAAGTAAGGGGAGGTTAATCTGTAACTTTACAGATTAACGTGTTCAAAGAGGGATGAACTTTCATACACTACAACCTACTTTGTCAGATGCTATGCAAATACTGTATTTATTCTAATCTAAAAACAACCTCCCCAATAATTAGAGTCTATACATGGAATATTTATACGTTTATAATTTTCCGTGTATAGAATCTAATTATTTTTCATTCAATCCTCCCACTGGTATGGGGGGTAGGCAGTGGGGAAGCAGGTGGTGGAGGGAGGTCAAGCAACTTGCTCCCTACTTGTGCCTGGCCCCTCTACCACTTCTGTCCCTGCAAGCCTTGGGTGTCCACCCCCTCCCCCCTTCCCCAGCCTCTGCTTTGTACTGGCAGGCTCTGTACCCATTTTTACCTGTGGCACTGAGCATAGCTCCCGCTCAGCACCCCAGGCTGCAATGTGTATGGAGCCCGCCAGCCCAAGGCAGGGGTCTGGTGGGGGAGGGCGGGGAGGGGGAGGTGGAAGGGGGATGAAAAGAAAAGACAGGGGGTGGGCAAGGTGCAGGGGCAGCATGGGTGGAGGAGGGGAGAGCCAGGCAGCAGCTGTGGCTGTTGCCCCTACCCTGGGTAGGGACTAGAGCCTGAGTCACAGCAGCTGCTGGCCCCTCAGCACCCTCATATATAGTTCTGAGAGAAGGGGCTTCTTTCCACTGTTAAACAAACGCCCCTTGTCTTAAAATCAAGTAAATATAGCACTCAGTATGAAACAAGAATGTTGCCATGGAAGTGAAGATGGTATAGATATATCTTTAAAATCATACTCTAGCTTGTTTTGTAATATCTTTCCCAGGTAGATAAACTGTAAACATCACATAATCTGCAAGTGTAAATCTAGCAATTGAACCCATTTCTAAAAGTGTAGCTCTTCTCAAATTATACCAAATCAGATGCATGAGAGACTGGAAACTCCACTTTGTCTTGAACAGTTACTTCTGATAAGAGTGGTGGCAGCTGTGTCAGTCATTACAAGAACATTTGGAAGGCGTGATGCAGGTGATTTTTATACCTTTAAAAGAACACCATATTTTTGTTGTGTATAACCCACTTCTTTCAACCTCAAAACCAGTTGGGGAAAACTGGGGTATGCATTGTATGTGAGCAAAAGGAATCCCCATGGGTCTGGAAATTTGGTGTGTGGTAGGGGGAGGAAACTGATGCCAATAACCACTGCCAATGCTCTCCCTTCCCTCCTACTGTGTGGAACACCTCCCCCCGCCCTTCCATCTGCATACTAGGTTAAGCTGATGCGCAGAGTTGGTTCAAAGCCAGACCCAGACCCAGCACACTGAGTATGACCCAACATGCAGACCCAGAGCTGATGTGCACTGGGCCTAGGACCATGTGCTGGCCCTGGAATTGGAGTTCAGTGCTGAATCTGGGGTGCTCTCAGGCTACACAGCCCTGGGACCGCTGTGCTAGATTGGGCCTGACACCTGGTCCCAGACCCAGCATGCTGGATCAGCCTGTGGTCCCCATCTGGTGCATGGGGCTGGCAGCACACTCAGGAGCAGACTCTATTCCAGGCTTGTCCAACATGCGGCCCGCCAAGCCGTTTTCTGTGGCCCGCGGTGCTGCAACGGGAAATGAAAGTAAACACTGTTTACTTTCGTTCCCACCCCTTGTCCCTCCCCCAGACCCTCAGCAGCTTCCTAATGGCTGCTGAAGGGCTGGGAAGGGACAACGTTCCCACACGCACCGCGTCAGCTTGATGTTGCCAATGCAGTGCGTGTGGGAGGAGGAGTAGCCATGTGGCACTCGGGACAGGATGAGCCCAGCCGGAGCAGCAGGGGCTCAGCTGCACTTTCCCCCTACCTGTGCTGGCTCAGTCCTGCGCGGCACACGGCTCCGCCACCGCCTCTGTTGGTTGGTGCCGACATAGGCAGGTCTGTCCCATCCGGAGCAGTACGCAGCTGAAGACGGATTCCCACATGCTGCTGGGGCTGGGAGGAGCCCGGCCAGGTCGGCACCAGCCAGCAGAAGAGGCGGGAGAGGCATGTGCTGCTTGGGG